GACACAATGTAATAGTAGCTTTTAATATCCATCATAATAATTAATAGGCTGGGTTTCGCTATGAGGAAAATTGCATTGGTGAAAATGTAAGAATCTGAAGTAGTTTGGGCAAGTTTTATTCAAATTCATTAAAAGTTACAAGGAAAAAGTTACTGCTAAATCATATTTGAGGAGTTATACATCCGTACACTGCAAAAGGAAATATCTATGTAAGTAAAATGACTTAAATTAAGAACATTTGACTTATTTGAGTAGGTTCAACTTGATAAGTAAAATGATCTACCAATGGAATAAGTGTTAATTCTTTTCTTTAAGTCAAGCAACATTCAGGTTTGTCCGAATGTCCACCCTGGTACCTAACGCCTCATTTACTACATAGGCCTGCACTCACTAGCGCCCCCTACAGTGCACTTATTCACAGAGCGATTCAGACTAAGAGCTCACTACAGTCGGGTCACGTGACTCTTGCATCTGGGTTAAAAAACTCTACAAAACTCAGATGAAACACGGTAAAACAAGAGCCATCAGAGATAGTAACCTGGTCCCCATGAGGCGTCGGTGAGGTCAGTTCATCACCACAGAAGCAGTTTATGAGGAGCCCAGCCCATATTACATGATCATTATATCCACAATGTAATGTGTGTGTCTGTACAGGCCCATGAACATTTGTGTGATATTGGTCACACATGAGAATGTCTGTGTTTACTAATGTGGAACCAAAATGTCATTTTTCATGAGTTGTGTGTATGTTAGTTGTGTGACTGTAGATCAGTGTGTTGTGTTTCACCAGAAAAACAAGAAATGGAAATGGTTTTCGTTCCAATTAGAATTTTAACAACATACACTGAAAGAGAAAGGAACTGTTATAATTAGTGATTATCTGGAAAACTATGAATATTTGACTATACAAATGCATAGAATTATAAATAGATACTAATTTTTATGAGATTTCGAGACACCCCCGTTGCTCGAGCTCGATCCTCTACAGAGATATGACCAAAAACGCATATTTGACCTTGGTTACCTTGACCGGTTTCAACCTGTAACATCCAGTGAACCCCGGTTATGTGTGTGCCAACTTGTGTGTTGATTGGGTGAATATTTTAGGCCGCAGATGGTTCAGAAATTGCCGAAATTGCCGATCCTTTATAATGGCGTGACCTTTCAATTGACCCGTGTGACCTCAAATTATCTCGGATCGTCACCAAACTTTTCTTGTGGCATCGGGCACGGGGGCTTTGGTGACAATTGGTTTATAAATGGCAGAATTATCATGGGTGGACTGACACACAGACACACAGGGTGAATACAAAACCTGGTTAATCCTTCAGGGACCAGGTAATGATGATCAGATCAGACTGACACAAGTGTTTCAGGACTAATAATAACCATATGAGTTTTTGTGAAGCTGAATTTCACATAAACAGACTGGATTATTTGCTTTTTGTCGGAGAAGCAAAAATGATCGATCTTTAAACAGCTAGAGCTAAGGTAAGCAGCTCACCATAACATTTTATTCAGTCGTGTTTTATTCAGAGTCAGGATCTACAGTGTCGTAAACCAGCGCTTTTATCTGCTTCATTCAGTCGCGTTGTTAAACACCTGCCGCTGTACGCCGTTTTTCCCGACTCTCCCAGTACATTGTGATCTATATTGACCGCTCTAGTGACCACCAATGCTTACTGTTTTTCAAGGTGCATTGTGGGAAATTTTGAGTGCATTACTTTTTCACCAACTGGACATTCAGACACCCCTGAAAATGGCGTGACCCCTAAATAGTGCCCTAAGTAGGAAACAGTGTGGACATTCAGACACAGCCTCAATTTTGTCTCTTATTTTAAGCACAAAGAGTTGTTGTTTTTCTGATCTTAAATGTAGCAAGATGTATTTGCATATTTCAAGTACAAAAAGTCTTTTCCACTGGTAGTTCATTTTACTTGTCAAATGAAATTGACTTAAATCATGATAACACTTTCTTAATTCAAGTCATCTGAACTTGATTGGATTTGAGTTTTTTCAGTGCACTTCAGTGTACTCATTCATTCATTTATTGATTTATTTGTTTGAGCCAGGTACAACAAAATAAAAAAAAATAAAAAACAATAACAAAAATAGTGATATGTACATGAACATATTTGGACCTGATGCTGAAAAGGAGGAGGATGAAGTTTAAACAACTTATAGAGTCCTACCCCAATTGTTTTACATAATCACGTGGTTCACACTTTTTTTTTATATATATATATATATATATATATATATATATATATATATATATATATATATATATATATATATATATATATATATATATATATATATACAAAAACATATCCGCATACACATGTACACACATACTTACATACATACATACGTATGTGCATCCTACAGTAAATATCCAGTACATATACCCAGTATATATGTTTGTACACATATGCATAACACACATATACATACATGCAGGAACATATTTTAGTTTATGGTCGTACAAACTAATAATAATCTTATCGTAGGCACAAAGTTTATCGTTTATGATCGTACAAAAGAAGAATTTTTGTTTTTGTTAACGTTTCTGTTACGCTGTGTAGGCCGCGCTTCCTCCTGTGAGCCTCTAAACCAGAACTAACACCAGGACTAAAACCTGGACTAAACCAGGACTAAACCAGGACTAAACCAGGTCTAAACAATATGACACCCAACAGTAGGTGGACATAATTTAAGTCAGCAGTGATCTCATATAGAAATCATTTCTCTATCAATAATATTTTTAATACGGTTAAGGAAAGACTAGACTTTTTATTGCCTTTTAGAAGACAAAACTTAAGATATCCTAGTCTTTGCTTCTCTATAGCAAACAGGATGTGGTTGCTGCATTCATGTCATTTCAAAAAGCATGACAATATCAAGTAATCCAAAGTATTCAGATTACTTTACTCACTTTAAGTAATTTAATGGATTACATTACAAACTAGATGTTGAGGTGTGTAATCTGTAATCTGTAGGGGAATACATTTTAAAAGTAACCTTCCCAACACTGTAAGTGAGTGTCTCCACTAAACTTTCTTCCACTAAACTTTCTTAAAATGTAGGACACTGGTTGTGCACAGAGAGCTGACTCATGTCCTGATGGCTGCTGTCACTCTTGCAAACACACACCAGATCAGAACTGGGAAAGAAGCCAAACCAAACCAAACCTGGACTGGATCAGAAATAAACCAGGACTGTTACTGGGGGTTTTAAGATTGTAGAATGTGATGATGTTATTCTTAAAAATGAACCGAGACCAAGAATTATCCCCAAAAGTATCCCCAAAAACAGTTCTAAATGTAAAGTAAGTAAGTACAAAAAGCAGAATGACACACTTAAGTAATTAGTTTGTATTTGTAATGAGTATCTTGTAAAAATATTAATTCAACTTCTTTACATCTTAAATGTTATATAAACTAAATATAACCACACATTTCCCAGTACTGCAAAGAAATGTGCAGACGATAAACACTGACCCTCAGAATACTAGTGTGATGTTCCAGTTTTTATATACTGAACAATAAATTTGAGTCATTTTTCTCGACATGTGTTGTAAATGTCTTCCATGGCAACAAGCTGGAGAAAATATGGATGCCCCAGAAAGTTTAATATAACATCAGGTATCTCTGGCTCTAGCTGTTAGGTGACATTAGCTGTGAGCGACGCAGTTATGGCAGTTTGACGATTACATGTTAAGAAAAGAAAACAAAAAAAACTGTGTACTGTCAAATAATGTGAAAGAAAGTGTAAATGTCACTACAAAGGTGACAAAGGTTTAGAAGACACTTTCTCTGCAAATACACTATTTAACAATGACCAGGACTAAAACCAGGACTAAACACCAGGACTAATCCAGGACTAATCCAGGACTAAACCAGGACTAAACCATGAAACTAAAACAGGACTAAAACAGGACTAATCCAGGACTAATCCAGGACTAAAACATGAATTAACCAGGTCTAATCCAGGACTAAAACAGAACTAAAAAGGACTGGACTAAACCAGGACTAAAACCAGGACTAAACCAGGACTAAACCAGGACTAAAACAGGACTAATTCAGGACTAATCCAGGACTAAACCAGGACTAAACCAGGACTAAAACAGGACTAAAACAGGACTAATCCAGGACTAATCCAGGACTAAAACATGAATTAACCAGGTCTAATCCAGGACTAAAACAGAACTAAAACAGGACTAAACCAGGACTAAACCAGGACTAAACTAAGACTAAAACAGGACTAAACCGAGACTAAAACAGGACTGAACTAAGACTAAACCAGGACTAAAATATGAATAAACCAGGTCTAAACCAGGACTAAACCAGGACTAAAACAGGACAAAACCAGGATTAAAACAGAACTGAACCAGGACTAAACCAGTTCTATACCAGGACTAAACCAGGTCTAAACTAGGACTACAGCAAGACTAATCTTGGACTTGAGAGAGAGGGAGAACCCGAGCCTGTTGGAGCAGGGTGTCCGCAAAGCGTGATCGGGCGACTGCTGCACTTGAGCCACAGAGCTCTGAACTGTTTTTTTTTTTTTTTTTTTTTTGCAGTGCGGTCACCTGATGTCTACGCTCGTCCCGACACTCAGTCCTGTTTCAGTTCTGGTTTAGTCCTGGTTTAGTCCTGGATCAGTCCTGGTTCAGGTCACTATAGGACACTTGTGCAGATATCATGAGCCTGTGTAGTTTGTTTTCACCGTTGTCAGTAGCTCTGGTTTGACATTTAAGTTGTAGCTATTTTATATTTGTTATTTTTTATATCTTACATCAGAAGAAGTGGGTGGACAACGTACTGCACTACACCCCTGGCTGTGATGTAAATCCAACCAACTTAGTGTACACCAATCCAGCTCAAGTATGTGTTTGGGAACCCTGAATTTATTGTCCGTTACATTGCACTTTCTCGAGGTGGAGGTCGGTTTTCCTCGAATCCCAAGCAAAATGATCCATTAGCATTAGCCCTTACCGGTGTTGAGATCTTTGTACTCGTGGGAGAAGTGCTCGTTCTGGTGCACCCACTCTCCATTGCACTTGAAGAAGATCTGTAAGGCGGGAGCGGCCCTGCACCGGAGCTTGATGGGGTTACTCTTGACGATGTAGGCGTCCTCTGGCTCCTGGAGGAAGTGAGGGAGCGTGTTCTGGACCGAGGGAGCCGAGTCCGAGCCAGGGTCCGCTGCTGCCGGGGGACCTGCCAAAAACGAGGAGGAGAAGAAAGGCAGATGAGACAATGGTTCTGACGGATCTTTACTCTTGGACGTCAACTAAGGGTCCAAAGTACACGATTTTCTGATCTACGTTTTTTGTTTTAATGTTGCTTCGTCATCACAAACATACCTGGAGTTGTTTTGTTTTGTTTCATTCCCTCATTTTCACCTCTCAAACTGAAACCACTCTGATCCACCTCGTGATGTCATGGGGTAATACAGGAAGTTTGCGATCATCGTGTTTTTAAACTCACTAAACTCATGCACTTTCACTTGAATCATTTGGAGGATTTCAGCCCTGGAATTGCCAATCTCTACAGAACTAAAGATAAGAGGTAAGTGTTCACTTGAAAATGACCACTAGATGACATCACAAGGGGGAAGAGAACATTTTGAGCTTTGGAGATGTAGACAGACTAATAATAAAGTGTTACTCAGACATGTGTGAATGAAACAAAACACAGCTTCAGGTGTGGATCACGCCAGCAGTGTTATTAATGACATCAGTTTGAAAGTATCAACAGAGAAAAGCTAGTGGTGCACCAGAAAAGTTACACAGTGCAGCTTTAACTTACAGTATTTACCAAACCAGAAAAAAAGTCACCACAAAAGTTAAACAAGAGTCCAAACTGCTTTCTCACACAAAAAAGCCGCCCTCTCTGAATGAGTCCAGAATCATAGCATAGTCAGGCATAACAGGCCAAGATACAGGTCAGATCTGTGGAGCGGTTGATCCTAGTTTCCATCCATTTCAAGGTATTTTCTTAGCACTAAATGCTCCTGTAATTGACCAAATCTGACAGATAAAGTCAAATGCCACACTGCGGAACATCCCAGGCAAAGCTATAACATATCTGTTGATTCTTTGCAGTGACATCGCATGGGGTATCACATACGTCTATGGCGGGATGTTCCTCGGTTTCCATGGTGACACAATGCACACATCAGCAAACTGTCCAAAAAGTTTTAAGAGAGGAAAACTCTAAACAAAACTAAAATTAAAATGGAGAACACATTTTCAGGGGCCGATGTACGATGAAACAAGAGTTCGTGGTTCTGTTTAGGTGTTTGATTTTCAACAAAAAGGTGAGAGTGACTAACCAGGGCAGCCGCGAGGTCTTAAAACTCTTAAAAAGGTCTTCCCAAATTAAAGCCTTAAAAAGTCTTAAATGATGTTGCCCAAGTCTTATTTTTTTCTCAAAGGTCTTAAATTTCATTCAGACTGTTTTTTGTTTTTTTTAATACTCAACCGGGCTGCAGAGTGCAATGTTAAATGGAGGGAGGAAAAAAATCAATGTGAAATTGTGTAATGCGAATGAACGTCCAATTTGGAGTGTGCGCAAACAATACTTTGGTTTTAGGCGCCAGCGGCAATGACTAAACAATCAGGACAGTGTAGGAAAACGTTGGATGTATCCATAGATTCATAGATAAGAGACTCATGTGCTGTAGTTCCAACTTTAAGCCAGCTCTTCCTGGTCAGATTGTGTTCAAATAAACCTCAGACTGAAGGGTAAAGACCTATTCATGCTTTGTTCAACAGGTCGGCAGCGCTGTCCGACATCTTGGGCGTGGTTTATCTGCTGGAGCCAACAGCTGCTTCCTTGCCGGTACGCAGCAACAAACAAAAAAGAGATGGTTTTGAGTCTCAGATGGTGGAAATGTTGAGAAAATACAAACATCTATACGACACAACGCTCAGTGACTATAAAGACGCCAAATGGCAAGAAATTCATGGAGAAAGATCACAGACATTTTAGGCTCAAAACGAAAATCAGTGTAAAAAAAAATCTGGCGTAATCTCTGTGATAAGTTTGCGAAAGTCAAAAGGCAGGTCACCAGAAAAAAAAAAGAGCAGTCAGAGCGAGCGAGGGGGGCGGGGCAGAGCGAGGGGGCGGGGCAGAGCGAGAAGGCAGGGCAGTTCGGCAGCAGAACATCTTTTGAAGTAAATGTCAGAGGCCCAATGAACTTTGTCCTTGTTTGTATTACCTCAAGAACAACAGCAAAGTACTTATGTTCTTATGAAGTATGAGGGTCCGGTCAAGAGGTAACGGAGGGAAACAGGGGCAGATTTTTTACATTCAAATAGCTCTTATTCAGAAACTAGAGGGACTATTGAAATAAGTAAAGTATCAGAATGTAGGAAAGAGTTACACTCCAACAGGGTAAAGTTCAGCCTGTGATATTCTTTCAAGTTGTTGACAAACAATGTAAAAACTCATGTCAGTAACGGAGGGAATGAAATATGCAGCACTTTTTGGGCAATAAATCCAAACAGTGATAACTCTTGGTTCTCACTTCCATATCCTTAACAAACTGGTTTGAATATTTGCTTCATATAGTTTTCTACCATATGGTACAAGATTAGGTTGAAAAACCTCTTACTTTTTGACTCATGAGATTTTTTATTAAGAAAGGTCATGGTAACAGAGGGAAAAGTAACAGAGGGAAAATTGTGCAAACAAGTAGAAGGTGCAGGATTTTACATCATTTGTCAGTTTTTTTCTTCCGAATACTTTAATATTACTTCAAAATGAAAGGAAACTATTTCTATAAAATATGTCAGTCCTTCCAAGCAAAATTTTATCATTTTAAATACAATTATATATATTTTTTTTAAATCCTGTACCTTCATCAACAGTTCAGAGATGGAATAACACAAGATATGATGAAATACATCCATTTATTTACATGATTTGCAGGTCTTTGAAATTTGGGAAATAATTTTTGTTCCATGTTTCATACATGGTCTGTTTAAAACATATATAACTTTAGAACCAAAAATGGTACAGAAAAAAGGTCAACAGTTTCATAAACTAGAGTACATATGTATCTGTTCAATACATTTTTATATCAGATGCATTAAGTTTGCTGTTTACTTCTGCTTGACCAGGCCCATGAGTAGATAGTCCTGAAAATATTCAGACAGAGCAGTGCCTATAGAAAGCAACACTCCCCAGAAAAAGTTACACAGTGCAGCTTTAACATCTTTACCAACCCATAATAATTTGCCGCAAAAGTTAAACAAACCCAAGCCTGCTTTCTCCCACACAAAATCTGCCCACTGAATAACTACACAATCAGACCCTAACGTTGTTTTAGCCACAACTGTGCACTGACCACTTACACACCACTCGGGCTTTTTGAAAACATTGTGAACCGACCATTCAACTGAAACCATTTTACTGCGCAAAGGCCAAGTACACAGCGGCCCATTTTTCTCTATTCACCTCCAAATGAACAATTCGCCCGTGAACGCAGTCAAAAAACGGCGCCGAGAAGAGCTGAATGAGAGCCAGCGATTAGCCCAGAGGTGGAGGTTTTTGAATGTCCCTTATCTGGACCATATAAGCTCCACTTCACACAAACACTGGGGTTTTGTAGCAGAGGGCAAATGTCTTTTTCCAGCTGGGAGCGCCCCGTACCCTCCCGCCCCCGACCCAGTTCTACTCCATTGTTGTTACCTGCGGCGTCAATATCGATCTAAGCGCTTTGGGAGTTTGGGAGAGATTGTGGGAGTGATATGTTAGAAAGAAGTGGTTTTCAAACGGGGGTGAGAGCACAGAGTGGTTCCATGACTAAGGAGTCTTTCGAGATTCCGATTAGGCCTTCTTATTGCTTTTACTTTTTTTCTTTAAGCATATACAAACTTTGGAACCTCTTTCACAATTTAACAAACCTTTGCAAATATGAAGTAGTTTTGCATGAAATCTGATCTCACCGAATTACATACTCTGTCCATTTAGACCACATCTTGTAAAATAACTCCAGCTGCACTTAGAGTAAAAATGAAACCTTTTCCATTGTGTAGATCTCTATCAGTCCAGTTCTCGATTGTTGGTCGTCTTTGTGACAAACAACGACGATCAAAAGTTTTAGAACAACCTCATTTTTCCAGTTATTTATTGCAATTCAAGTCGTGCGAGTTCAATGAAGAGCTTGAAATGGTAAAAAAGGTAAGAACTGAACAGACAGAGGTTAAAAAAAAAAGATAAAAGAACAAAACACAAGTCCATGCTAAAACTAAAAGAACAAGATGGTAAAGCTTGAAAACATGAAGTGTCCAGCAGCACAGTGTCCAGACTTAAACCCCATCGAGCTGGTTTGGGATGAACTGGACAGAAGAGTGAAGCAACCTACAAGTGTTACACATTTTTGGGAACTTCTGCGACAGACTTAGGAAGAACTTTCTGAAGAATATTTGATTTCTATTTCTATTTCTAAGGAATGCCACGAGTGTGTTCAGCTGTTATATCTGCCAAAGGTGGACACTTTCATGAATCGAAAGTTTAGAATATGTATTGGTCAACAGTAAACAGTAAAAAATTGGAAAAAGTGTGGTGTTCTAAAATTTTTGACCGGTAGTGTATGTCTGTGAAAAGTGCTACATAAATAAAAACTTACTTACTCACTTAGTCACTTACTTACTAATGGGCAAATGAGTCGGAGCTCTGGAGCACGTCTCGTTCTTTCTGAAACAAATTGCTCTGAAGCTCTGCCTCGGAGCTCATCTCGCAGCAGCCGCTCACGTGACCAAAGTGTGGAAGTGTCGGTCCCTCCCCCTACTGCTTCGCTCTGCGTGTCAATCGCTTCAGTGTATCGAAGCGTTTCATTGGCTCAGCGAATGTTCCGCTCTGTGATTGGTTCAGATGCTTCAGAGTGTTCAGCGCACTTCTGTGGTTTGACGAGCGCTAAACTGCTACAGTATAAAAGATGCACCAATATTTCATAAAAATGTTGGGTAGTGAGGAGGATTGTGTGATGTTAGTGGTGATTTTGGCGACTTGTGGCATTTGTTTCATTTTCAATGACATCTACAAGTGGAAAAAAGTGATCCATGGTTTGGGATCACTTTGATCTAATTCCACCTAACAAGGTAACACCTCTTTTCTTATTTACAAGCATGTTATTTATGTTACTCTTTACATATTATTTTAAATCATCATTATTATTGTTGTTGTTAGGTTCGGTGTCGCTCTGCACACAAGTATTGTCTTACACTAACAATACTTCATCGATGCTGAGACACCTGCGTGTCAATGGTTAAATTTGTCCACTAGAGGTCAGTGTTTCTCCAAGGCCTCAGACATTTGAGACAATATTGAGACTGAGGTGTCAATGCTTCACGAGGCTCCATTCGCCCATCACTATTTACTTACTTGCTTACTTGTTTGTATTGTTAAAGCCATCTAGTACGAGGTTACCAAGATACAAGGCACCAAATGACAGGGGAAAACAAATGAAAAAAACATTTTGCAGATATTGATGAATCATTGACCAATATTTTTGAATGACCTCACATTCCCAAAAAATATGGAAACACATCTCCAGCAGGCATCACCTATTCTGTACTGGTGTAATGAAAAATCTCATTAGGTTTTTCCAACAGAATTTGGACCATCGGTACAATTTGGAAATTATTTTTATTGGAGGTAATAATTTTAACAGAGACATAAATATTTGCAAGAAACCCTGGTCTGCTTATTTCTCTTAAAGGGCTCGTATTACGCTATTTCACGATCTATGTTATAATGTTTCCTCATCAGAAACAGACCTGGAGTTATGTTTTGTTTCATTCACACATGTTTAACACACAAACCCAGCAGATTTAGGTTAAGTACTTCTCTCAAACTGAAATTTAGCTCTGGAATTTCCAATCTGTAGTGAAAAAAAAAAGGAGCTATTCACTTGAAAACTACCACTTCATGACATCAAAAGGCGTAACAGAGCATTTTGAACTTTGGAGATGTAAACAGACTAATAATAAAGAGTTACTCAAATATGTGTGAATGAAACAAAACACAACTTTGGTATGTTTTTGATGAGGTAATAACATTCTAACACTTTGCCTCATTTGGGACCTTTAAAGACCGTGTTTATTTCCATTGTGGTTCTGATTCAATGCCAGATTGATATGAAAAGAGTT